GAGTAACTTCCTGGTACACATGAGGTCAGCTGGGGAACAGAAAGGACATGAGCAGATCATTAGAAATTGTCATTAAAATAATTCCCCCCGACTCACCCCCAGTAACAAGAACAGCACTTCATGTAGCTTCAGGCCTTCTTTCCTGTTCGACCAGGGGCTGTATCCCCTTTGAAAGTAACAGTATCTTGGGCTGAGCGCAATGGCTCACGCCTATAATCCCAGCACTTTGGGAGGCCAAGGCGGGCAGATCACTTGAGACCAGGAGTTGATCACTTGAGACCAGCCTGGCAAACACGGTGAAACCCCGTCTCTACTAAAAATACAAAAACTGGCCGGGTATGATGGCTCAGGCCTGTAATCCCAGCACTTTGGGAGACTGAGGTGCATGGATCACTTGAGGTTAGGAGTTTGAGACCAGCCTGGCCAACATGGCAAAACCTTGTCTCTACTAAAAATACAAAAATTAGCTGGAGTTGGTGGTACACACCTGTAATCCCAGCTACTGGGAAGGCTGAGGCAGGATAAATGCTTGAAGCTGGGAGGTGGAGGTTGCACTGAGCTGAGATGGTGCCACTGCACTCCAGCCTGGGTGACACTTGAGGAGGACCAGCCTGGCCAACATTGTGGAACATCGTCTCTACTAAAAATACAAAAATTAGCTGGGCATGGTGGCTCATGCCTGTAATCCCAGCTACCTGGGAGGCTGAGGCAGGAAAATCACTTGAACCATGGAGGTGGAGGCTGCCATGAGCCGAGATTGTGCCACTGCAGCACAGCCTGGGTGACAGAGACTGTCTCAAAAAAAAAAAAAAAAAAAAAAAAAAAAAAAAAAAAAAAATTAGCTGGTCATAGTGGCACACAACTGTAATCCCAGTTACAGAGAGGCTGAGGCAGGAGAATTGCTTCAACTGGGGAAGTGGAGGTTGCAGTGAGCTGAAATTGCCATCACTGCAGCCCAGCCTGGGTGATACTGAGGCTTTGTCTCAAAAACAAATAAACAAAAAGTAATATCTTCTGCTTATAGTCTCTAATTCTATTCCCAGTAGCCATTTAATTATGCATTTATTTTCTTTCTTCCTGCTGGATCATCTTTAATCACAAGGTAACCATTTTTCTGAATCCTTACAACAGCTGGCCAGCCAACCTTTCCCTCACTCATGTTGCCTAATTAGGCCATTAACTTTATAGTTTTTAGTTTACTACCTGTATAAGAAAAGCATCTTGCTAAGGGACATCTATTATTGAGTTTGTTTACTGTTTCTCTTGGACTTACTGATATTAAATGCTCCTATATGTATTTGCGTCACACATTTAAGAAAATCTCATTCTTAAAATAGATCAGCAACAAGGAAATATTTTTTTCTTTTGAGACAGGGTTTTGGTCTGTCACCCAGGCTGCTGGAGTGATGATACAACTTTTCACTGCAGCCTCCACCTCTTGGGCTCAAGTGATCCTCCCACCTCAGCCTCCCAAGTAGCTGGGACCACAGGCACACAACACTATAACCAGTTTTGTTTTGTTTTTTTAAGAGATGGGGCTTCACCATGTTGCCCAGGCTGAGGAAACTAATCTTTACAACTTTGCCTTCTGAAATCTTATACTAACTTATAATTTGCTTTTCTGTTTTGCTTCACTGAGATATTGTAGAGATGGGGATTAAAACTTTTGTTCTTCCTTAGAGTGCAAAAGCAGTGCCTTACAAACTTAAGTAAGCTTCAGATTATCTGAGATGCTTGTTTAAAAGGCTGATTCTGAGACCCATCGCATTAATATATTCAAGTGAATGCATATATTAATACATGTAATTTGCAAAAGCCTTTTCAGGTTATGATGCATCCTAACAATCCCCTGCCCCATCCCTCCTAATTCTCCAGAGCAATGACTTTTTTTTTTTTTTTTTTTTTTTTGAGACGGAATTTTGCTCGTTATCCAGGCTGGAGTGCAATGGCGCGATCTCGGCTCACCGCAACCTCCGCCTCCTGGGTTCAGGCAATTCTCCTGCCTCAGCCTCCTGAGTAGCTGGGATTACAGGCACGTGCCACCATGCCCAGCTAATTTTTTGTATTTTTAGTAGAGACGGGGTTTCACCGTGTTGACCAGGATGGTCTTGATCTCCTGACCTCATGATCCACCCGCCTCAGCCTCCCAAAGTGCTGGGATTACACCTTGAGCCACCGCACCCGGCTAGCAATGACTTTTAACTCTTACCAATGTCTTCTATTTTTTACCTCACATAACTAGTCATTTCTTGATTATTTTATATATTATATAATGATTTCTTGATACAACAGATTAGGATTTAGCTCTTACATCATCACTATCTTCACTTTTCCTCCCATATTGTCCCAAAGTAGTTACGAGATTTAAGGGGTAAGCAGTCACCGCATCATTATATGTACAGATTGCTCATTGTTGAGAAGAGCATACTATGCTCTTACTTCCTATCCTGTACTTCTTTCTGTCCTAGAACTAATGATTGCTTAATCCTCCCTACCCCCCCCCCCCCTTTTATTTACTTTATCTTCCTTCAATGAACTTCTTTCCAAATGCCCCAAATCTGGCAATAACCTATTATTTTTGAGACAGAGTCTCACTCTGTCACCCAGGCTGGAGTGCAGTGGCGCGACCTAGGCTCACTGCAGCCTCCACCTCCCAGGTTCAAGTGATTCTCCTGGATCAACCTCCCGAGTAGCTGAGACTACAGGCGTGTACCAGCATGCCCGGCCAATTTTATTTTTAGTAGAGATGTAGTTTTACCGTATTGGTCAGGCTGGTCTTGAACTCCAGACCTCATGATCCACCTGCCTCGGCCTCTCAAAGTGCTGGGATTACAGGCGTGAGCCACTGTGCTCGACCCCTATTATGGAGAAGAGACCTTACTATAGTGGCCAGGCTGGTCTGTCACTCTTGGGCTCAAGCCATCTTCTTGCTTAGCCCCGTGAGTAGCTGGGATTATAGGCACGAGCCATTCCACCCAGCTAACCCATTATTTTTACTGTTTCTTTGCAAAGCCAGCTCCATACCTGGAATATTGCCTGTGTTGGATCCATGTCATTCTCTGGTTTGTGTACTCCTTCATTTTGCTGGAATATTTTCACATGGAGGTAACCCGAGTCTTTGCTTGTCTAAAAACGTATTATTTTACCTTCAACCCTTGACTGTTTGGTTGAATATAGATTTATCAGTAGAAAATGACTTTCTTTCTAGAATTCTGAAAGCATGGTTCCATTGTTTTCAGTTTCTTTTTCAAGACAGGGTCTCTTCTGCCACCCAGGCTGGAGTGCAGCAGCACAATCACAAGGCACCACAGCAGCCGTGAACTCTTGGGCTCAATTGATCCTTCCATCTCAGTTCCCTGAGTAGATGGGACTACAGGTGTGCACCACAGTGCCCAGCTAATTTTTGTATTTTTTGTAGAGATGGGGCTTTACCATGCTGCCCAAGCTGTTCTCAAGTGATTCATCTGCCTTGGCCTACCAAAATGCTGGGATTACAGGTGTGAGCCGTTTTGCCTGGCCAATTTTTCTTTTATTCTCTCTACTTTCTTCATTTCTCAAAGGCATCTCAAACTCAGTGGGCCAAAACCAAAGTCAAACTCCATTGGAATATCCTGCTACGGCCAAGTTTAAAATATATCTTAAATCACAATTCCTTACTACATGCAATCCTTAGGTTCAAACTACCACCATCCCTTGCTTGAACTTAGAATTGCTTTTCCTTCTTCTGTGTTTTTTAAAATTATAAAGTATTTTAAATAAACCATGTGTGGCTTCACACTTTCTACTACATAAAAAAAATGAAGATCTGCTGGGTGCAGTGGCTCCTGCCTGTTAATCCCAGCACTTTGGGAGGCCAAGGCAGACAGATCACTTGAGGTCAGGAGTTTGAGACCAGCCTGGCCAACATGGTGAAACACTGTCTCTATTAAAATATAAAATTACCTGGGCAAAATGGTGTCCACCTGTAGTCCTCGCTACTTGGGAGCCTGAGGCAGGAGAATTGCTTCAACCTGGGAAGGCGGAAGTTACAGTGAGCCAAGGTTGCACCATTGCACTTTGCCTGGGCAACAACAGTGAAACTCTATCTACCAAAAACAAAAAAAGCATGAAGAGCTTACATACTTAAACATACAGTTGCTTTAAGTGTTTGGCATTCACTGTTCCCGTGCATGCTAGCAGCTTCTTACTGCAAACACCTAGGACTTGCTATAGAGCATCTGGAGTACGTTCCACCCACACACAGGAAAGGGAGCTGACAATCAAGGAGTGGGGGATCAACACTCCGGCTTTCTCCCGTTTCCCTGTATCTCAGCAGTATGGAGCTTGTTACCAATGAGAACCTGCTCAATGACTTTAAACTGGTTTCCTTACCTACTCAGTTCCATTTCTCCATACCTCAATTGATGATTTCTGGTACTACCTAGCAAATAAACTGCTTTCACTGGACTTCCAGGTTGTTTTCAATTTTTCACTGTTACAAACAAGGCTGCAACATTTGTCTACAAACCTCTGGATATACATGCAGGAAGCTTTTGGTATTTCCCACTAGTGAAAATCCTCAGTTGAAGGGTATGTGCATCTTCATCTTTAATAAATACTACCAACATCTGAAAAGCTCAACAATGTCAAGGACTGCCAAGAGTGCCACGTGATGGGTGTGGAATGGCAGCTCACTGTGTACCAGGTGCTGGGGACTCAGTTGGGGTCTTGGATAGGCACTTAGTTATAGTTATAGCAAGAATGTTTCATAAATGGTATCTGATATAGCCAAGATTAGTGGGGAAAGTGTAAAGTATGTAAAAAGTCAATAGTGGTGTACAGCAAAAAAAAAAAAAAAAAAAAAAAGATTAGTGGAGAATACAAACACATTGCTTAGGAATAATTTAATTATCCACAGATCTAAAGTCAATAAGTCTTTTTTTTTTTTTTTTTGCAGAAAGAGATAAAAAGGGGAAAGAAAAAGATAAGAGAGAAAAGCTTCCATAAGATCTTGTAGAAGGAAAAAAAGTCTTTTTTTCTAATGTAAAAATACATAATTTTTTTTTCAGAGGGAGAAGGAACAGCTTAAACCAGAAAACACATTCATATTAATCATTCTTCTCATATACTTCAAATTTGTACTTAATGCCTTTCTCCTCCTGGGCATCAGAGGGAACACCTGGATATCTGTAAAAGAAAAAAATATTAAATTATGTATCCATTAAAAACATAGTTTCCCTGATTCTCAGTTTAAACACATCAATAGTGCATAAAGTAAATAAAAGGTTTCCCTTCGTTTTTCTTCACAATGGTAAGCCTTGTAAAGTTGGATAAGTATCATGCAAATATTCCACATATGCAAATGGTAAGAAAAAAAACTGTAAACTATATAGAAAATTAGTGTAATTTCTCCTCTTTTGTTTCTTTTGGATTCCGAATTCTCTCAAAAACCAGTTAGCAGATTCCCTTATATCTTTCGACTCTATCACTCAGCTAACAGAAAATTTCTTAAGAGCTTTTTGCAAGTCTTTTTTTTTTTTTTTTTTGAGATGGGGTTTCGCTCTTGTTACCCAGGCTGGAGTGCAATGGCGTGATCTCGGCTCACCGCAACCTCCGCCTCCTGGGTTCAGGCAATTCTCCTGCCTCAGCCTCCTGAGTAGCTGGGATTACAGGCATGCGCCACCATGCCCAGCTAATTTTTTGTATTTTTAGTAGAGACGGGGTTTCACCATGTTGACCAGGATGGTCTCGATCTCTCGACCTCGTGATCCACCCGCCTCGGCCTCCCAAAGTGCTGGGATTACAGGCTTGAGCCACCGCACCCGGCCTGCAAGTCTTATATTTGTTATCACATTTCTTGTGTAGGCAGAAGAAAAAATACAATGTGAAGCTGTTTAGAACATAACTGAAATTACATGCCCTAGACAGTGATGGGTTCTCCGCTTCCGTTTGGTTGATGGACACCACACTGCTCTAATTCCACTATGTGCAGCAGACTGTATGAGGATCTGCTGTTCCTGCTCCCTAACTCCTCTCACTTGAGCCTGTGTTCTCTCCAGCTTCCCATCCAAAACCAGCTTTTCCACAGAGGACTCTTCTGACCATTCCAACCTTGAATGAAACCCAAATCTTGGGGTACTTCAGTACTATGCAGGCTGCACCCCAGTATGCTCCAGGTGGTGGTCAGGAATGCCTGCTTGAATCAGACTGTGCTTGACTCTGGTTCTGCTGTGTGACATGCCTCTGAGCCTGGCTGTCAACAAAGTCTTCATCCTTGTAAAAATTTTAGCATTGGCCAAGGCATAGTGGCTCCCACCTATAATCCCAGCACTTTGGGAGACCAAGGTGGGTAGATCACTTGAGGTTAGGAGTTTTGAGACCAGCCTGGTCAACATGGTGTAACCCCATCTCTACTAAAAATACAAAAATTAGCTGGGTGTGGTGGCACACACCTGTAATCCCAGCTACTCGGGACGCTGAGGCAGGAGAATTGCTTGAGTCCGGGAGGCAGAGGTTGCAGTGAGCCAAGATGGTGCCACTGCACCATTCCGGCTTGGGTGACACAGCCACCCCCCGCCAGCCAAAAAAAAAAAAAAACAAAAACCTGAAAAAGAATGTAGCATTGTGTCTAACACATTAAGTGTTCTATAAATGGTGTCCACTAATAATATTGGTTTGTTTCATTTCTCTATTTTCTAAACTCAAGGTAGGCAGGGATAACAGGCATGGTGGTGGTATTCAACTTCTCTTTCATGTTTATTTCACTATACTGGTGCATTTATTTTTAAATCGGGAAGAATGGTGTAAATAAAAGATACCATGTTTTAACAGAAACATATGTAACCACAAGAGGTTGACTGGTAGAGACAATGGGGCTTAAACTAAGTGAATACCTGGGGGAAAGGGATAGGGAAAGTAGAGAATGACCAAAGTTTATATCTGGACAGTAGAGAGCAAATCTATGGAGAGAAAGCAGCTCCAGAACTGAGCAATGTTAGTTTTCCAGGGACAAAGTATATTCACTTGATCTTGAGAGGTTTCCTTTTTCTCCATAGAATAAAGGACTGACTTATTCTAGGTCTCCTGTTAGAGAATTCCCTCTATTTCATTAAAGAGGCTGTTATGATGTTATATTAGTACACACCTGAAAGTACAAATGACCATCAAACGTTGCAATGGAAGAATTTTTTGCTTTCTCCCATAGCTTTGTTTAGAATGTCCACTTTGGAGCAGTTTACTTATTCCTATCTTAATCTATTCACTATTAAAATTTTCTAAGACATTTAAGAAGTACTGGCAATCTATCACAAACTCTCAAAAAAAAAAACAGAAGAGAAGACAGCATCTTCCAATTCACTCCATGAGGTCACTTTTATCCTGATGACAAAACCAGGGAAGGCATTAAAAAAAAAAACAAAACTATAAACCAATATCCCTTCTGAATATAAATGCAAAAATCTTCAACAATAAACTAGCAACCAAAACCCAGTAACATATAAAAAGGATTATACACCATTACCAAGAAGAATTTATCCCAGAAACATTAGCTTAACATGCAAATTAATGTGATATACCATATTAATATTACATTAAAGTATTAGTAAAAAGAGAAAACAACATGATCATCTCAATAAGTTTGAGCAGATATCAATAGTCCCATAATGTGAGAATCAGTGGTCTAAGCAGAAAATAAAACGTATGAGGTATGACAAAGTAAAAAAATCACTAAGTGTGAGTTTTCTAAGTAGTTACCTTTGGAGCCTAAGGAAAAGCCTGTACTTTAGCTGTTTATAGTTCTGAAAATTTTCAGTTTTCTTTAGAGATAAGAGTCCAAGAAAATCAGTCACTCACTTCAGTTGATTGAAGACTATTACTTCATAGAGTAACAGACTATTAATCTGAAGCCTGGCCATCCTGGTATTCAGACTTGGCTCTGAATGTTCCTTTAAGGGACATTACAAACACAAACCACACTCAAAGAATATTGACTAGATAAAACTGAGAATATGTGAAAGAATGTGCTAAAAGCTATTCCAAAAGTATTGATATGATAATCTTTTACTTTTATCCTCTAAAGCCAACAGCTAAAAATTGCTTGTAAACAAAAATGCTATGAGTTTTCAAAATCAGGCAGTTTCATGCTAGTCACCACAAGGTGAAGCAAGTGTAACCTCTTCACTCCATCTCCACCTGCCACAGCTTACCTCAGTTCCTTAATCTTTCACCCGAATGACAAGGCTCCCCCTAGTTCACTCTTCTGGTCCATTCACCACAAAGCAGCTAGAACAAGGTCACTCTCTCTTCAGAACCCTCTCATCACCCTGTACTTGGTCTGACCTCTGTGGGCCTCCTGCTTGCTCACAAGGCCTCCAGCGGCTTCAGGCTCAGAGAACACACCAAGCATATTCCTGCCTGAGGCCTTTGCAGTAGCTATTGCCGAATCCTAGAATGTCCTTCCTGCTCTTTGCAGGGCTGGCTTCTTATTTAGATCACAGCATAGACATCACCCTTCAGAGAAGATGTCTCACACTACCCAGTATCTGCCACATTACAGTATTTTAGTTCTCCACATGCACCTCTTTTGATTCCTCTGCCATTTGGCCCTCACTAGAAAGAATGTAATCTTCTGGAGAAGATCAGTAGTGGCTGGCCTGGTAAACACTGTTTCCCCAGTGCCTAGATAATATCTAATTCTCCTAAAATGAACTAAAAACTACTCTTCTAGATTTCAGTAACATCATTAAAACCTGAACGTTTCCAAGTCTATTGAAGCAGATGCCAAAAATTCCTACAGAATTTGTCTATAAAACATATTGTTACTCTGCATTCAATCTAAAAAGACATGCTCTTTTCTTTTCTTTGAGACAGTTCAAAGCTGGAGTGCAATGGCATGATCTCAGCTCATTGCAACCTCTGCCTCCCAGGTTCAAGTGATTCTCCTGCCTCAGCCTCCCAAGGGGCTGGGATTATAGGCATGGTACCACCATGCCTGGCTGGTTTTTTTTTTTTTTATTTTTTTTTTATTTTTAGTTCAGTCAGGGTTTCGCCATGATGGCTAGGCTGGTCTCAAACTCCCAACCTTGGTGATCTGCCTGCCTCGACCTCCCAAAGTGCTGGGATTACAGGAGTGAGCCACTGTGCCTAGCCATGAAAAAAATATATATATAGGCCGGGCGTGGTGGCTTAAGCCTGTAATCCCAGCACTTTGGGAGGCCGAGGCGGGTGGATCACAAGGTCAAGAGATCGAGACCATCCTGGTCAACATGGTGAAATCCCGTCTCTACTAAAAATACAAAACATTAGCTGGGTATGGTGGCGCGTGCCTGTAATCCCGGCTACTCAGGAGGCTGAGGCAGGAGAATTGCCTGAACCCAGGAGGCGGAGGTTGCTGTGAGCTGAGATCACGCCATTGCACTCCAGCCTGGGTAACAAGAGCGAAACTCCGTCTCAAAAAAAAAAAAATTAAAAAAAAAAAAAAAATATATATATATATATATATATAATTTCCATAGGTTTTTGGGAAACAGGTTGTATTTGGTTACATAAGTTCTTTAGCAGTGATCTGTGAAATTTTGGTGCACCCATCACCCAAGCAGTACACAATGAACCCAATTTTTAGTCTGAAAAGACATGCTCTTTTCTATAGTCTTAAGCAGGAAAGCCAAAGTGCTTCAGACTAATTAATAACATTATACTTACTCTGGCAGAAGTTTATATTTCTCCAAATCAATTTCTGGAAAAAACGTGTCACTTTCAAAGTCCTGCATGATCCTTGTCACAAACAGTTTAAGATGGCCTGGGTGATCCATGGCTTCCTTTGAAATAAAACAACATCAATTTTCTTAATGTATGTCAAAAGACACAGAAATTCTAAGACTTATGTTTGATTACTTAAGTTTATACTAGGTATTAAAGATATGTTTGGTACCGCCAAAGAATATTATTTAAATATCCTATTCTTTCATCTGGGGTGCTGCAAATTGTGCCTTAGTTATATTTAGAGTGACACTAACCATTATCAATAATTACGAGAGCCTGAGTTTAAATATAGTCTGGCCTCCATATAATAACTCCTTTTTTTTTTTTACTTGAGAGGCAGTTTCACTCTTGTTGTCCAGGCTGGAGTGCAATGGTGCGATCTCGGCTCACTGCAAGCCCCACCTCCTGGGTTCAAGTAATTCTCTTGCTTCAGCCTCCTGAGGAGCTAGGATTACAGGCATGCGCCACCACGCCCGGCTAATTCTGTATTTTTAGTAGAGATGGGGTTTTTCCATGTTGGGCACGCTGGTCTCGAACTCCCGACTTCAGGTGATCTGCTTACTTCAGCCTCCCAAAGTGCTGGGATTATAGGTGTAAGCCACCTCACCCTGTGCCCAGCCAATAATTATGAGAGACTGAGTTTAAATATAGTCTGGTTTCTGGTTTGCTTACAAGAACTTTTTAATTTTAGCATTTTCTTTTGTTGTTTTCCTTTGGCTGTTAAAAGAGCCCTAAATTATCAAGATGCTCTCCATAGAAAAATTTACATACACATATAGGAATAAGATAGTGCAATTTAATGAGATCTTGACTGTGGTAAACCCCAAGAGCATACTTAGTACATGTACATAAAATTTAATAACGCTTCCAATTCTCAAAAGATAATTACAATGCTAGTAGGTAGGTAATTTATTCTGCTTGTTGCTAACAATTATATTAATATTTGGCTTTATACTGTACATGACTTTTCTAACAACTGCCTAAAATACAGTTGATAGTTTCTGCAGAAAAAGCTGCCCTGGAATGAGCATCTTAAAATTCTCATTCATAAAAAGTATGTCTTAATTCCAACTCTAAGAAAGCAGTAATTCTTGATCTCAAATAGCCTATAACTCATAGAACTCCTGACTCTCAAGCAATTCACCTGCCTTGGTTTCCCAAATAGCCTGTAAGCTATTTAAGATCAAGAATTACTGCTTTCTTACAGTTGCAATTAAGAAACTAGATATAATTTTATATACAAATTCAAAAAATTATATAGAAATTATAAAATTTTATAGATATAAAAAATATATACACACATATACAAATGCAAGTGTGTGTTATTTTTAAAATTCCAAATAAGGGAACAGAACAAATTTTATCTTCAATATATCATTTTATATTAAATCATTGTTTGCTACAACCCAATAGATACTCTATCAATTCTTACTCTACCAAAATTTAAAAAGTGGAATGCAGTAGTCCCCCCTTATCTGCGGTTTCACTTGCCAGTTTGTTTGTGGTCAACTGTAGTCTGAAAATATTAAATGGAAAATTCCAGAAATAATGCCTAAGATTCAAATGGCATGCTGTTTTGAATAGTGGGAAGAAATCTCGTGCCATTCTGCTGTCCTGTCCAGGAAGTAAATTCTCCCTGCACTTCCTGTCTATGTTACCTGCCCCTTAGTCACTTAGGAGCCATCTGGATTAGATTGACTGTGGTGGTATTGCAATGGTGGTGCTCAAGGAAATCTTAAAATAAGATTTTATTCAAGGAAATAATAAAATACTTAATAACGGCCCCAAAATGCAAGAGTAATGATGCTGGCATGTTGTTATAATTGTTCTATTTTACTATTGTTGTTAATCCCTAACTGAATTTATAAGTTAAACTTTATCATAGGTATGTATACATAGGAGAAAACAGCATAGATAGAGTTCAGTAATATCTGTGGTTTCAGCCATCTGCTGAGGGTCTTGGAATATATCCCCTGAGAATACAGGGCGGAGCTACTGTAGGGCTAACTATGGCAGCATTTGAAGTTCTGTAGTAAAGTTGATCATACAACGCAAACCTTCTGTAAAGGGCCAGATGGTAAATATTTTAGGCTTTAAGGGCCATAGGGTTTCTTACCTTTGTAAGCCACAGACAGTAGTGAATGAATGGGTAGGGCTGTGTTCCAACGAAACTTTCTTTACAAACATAGGCTGGGAGGTCTGATTTGGCCCATAGGAAGATAAACCCAAATGATATACAAGCTGTGGTGATGTGAGGTAGGTGGATAATGTAAAAATATCATTTGAAGGTTCTACTTCCTATTTATCTATATATATAGATTGATCATATTACATAAATGCATTTACATACTTATGCTGTAAATGAATACATTATCAAGTGACTACGGTAATGAATCATTTGAAGTGTGGTATGTATTAAAACAAGTAACTTGTTTTCTTCCAAGAAATTCATACTTGGATGGAAATATCAAGGAATAATGTCCGTTTTCTTTTGTTACAAATGCGGAAAATAAGAGGTTACAAACTGAGGTTTTTTTTTTTTTTGAGACAGACTCTCACTGTTACCTAGGCTGGAGTACAGTGGCACAATAGCTCACTGTAACCTCTGCCTCCCGGGTTCAAGCAATTTTCCCACCTCAGCCTGCGGAGTAGCTGGGACCCGCCATCACGCCTGACTAATTTTGTATTTTTAGGAGAGATGGAGTTTCACCATGTTGGCCAAGCTGGTTTTGAACTCATGACCTCAAGCAATCCACCTGTGTTGGCCTCCCAAAGTGCTGGGATTACAGGCATCAGCCTATCTCTTCTTACTAAAATAATTTCAATGTATGTATGTTACCACAAGACTCAAATGGCAGAAACTGATTTTTTCTCCTCCTCATAAACATTATTTTCATTAGTGTTCTAGAAGGCAAAAAATTTTGTTATCCTCAAAAATTCTAAAGCTGGAAGTCATCTGGTATTAAAAAAGAGGTATATTTTCTTTTTTATATACTATTTTTCCTTATGCTATAAAATCATGTCATCTTTCTCCTGTGTCCTCACATTACATGCAAATTGAGTGAGGAAGTTTTCTGCTTGTAATAAATTCATATACATCTAGATAGTATATATCAACTGAGAGCCCCAGACCTTTCTCGATAAGAGACGTATTCATCTTGAAAGACAAAGGGATAACTCAGTGTATCTAGAGTACATTCAGGGAGTAGAAACCAGTACAGTACAAGCACAATTCTCAGGAAAGGATTTAGAGTGGATTTTAAATTGGAAACATCAATTATTCTTCGATTTAAAAGTAGACTGGTATTAGGGAGATGCTGGCCACAGGATACGAAACTTTAGTTACATAGGAGGAGTAAGTTCAAGAGATCTATTGTACAACGTCTATTATTCTACAGTTAATAACAAATACTTTCTTGCAAATTGCTAAGAGAGTAGATTTTAAGTGTTCTTACCACAAAATAAGTGAGGTAATACATATGTTAATTAGCTCAGTTTAGGCATTCTCCACTATATACACATTTCGAAACAAGATGTTGTACATGACATGGAATTATTTGTCCATTAAAAAGATAAATAGGCTGGGTGTGATGGATCACACCTGTAATCTCAGCACTTTGGGAGGTCAACTGCTTGAACCTAGGAGTTCGAGACCAGCCTGGGCAACGTGGCGAAACCCTGACTCTACAAAAAAATACAAAAATTAGCTGGGCATGATGGTGTGTGCCTATAGTTCCAGCTACTACTTTGGAGGAGACGTGGGAGGACTGCTTGGGCCTGGGAGCTCAAGGCTGCAGTGAGCTGAGATACTGCCACTGCACTCTAGCCTGGGTGACAAAGCAAGATCCTGTCTCAAAAATAAATGAATAAATAAAAGATAGGCTGATACAGACTAAAATATTTATTTTTGCATTTTTATTTAGTTTGTATGATAGTATCAAACAAGTAATTTGAATTGACAACAAATAATTTACAGTACACATAATGTGCTGCTTCCTATACTCATGGCTTAATTTTTTAAAGGTTCAGACAATGACATACTTGTTCCACCTCCTTTAAATGTCAGAGAAGCTGAAAGAAAGTAGAATAAAACATTTCTTTTTATTTACCAATAACTTTACTTACCTTATAAACAGAACTGCCACCAATTATCCAAATCATGTCTACTTTATTTGCTAATTCTGGTTGTTCAGTAAGTTTTAAGGCATCATCCAGACTTCTGGCCAGAAAATGAGCTCCTTGTGGAGGCTCCCTGAGGTTAAAGAAAAGAATTACATATAATTTTTGTAAAATCCATCTATACTAGTCAAATAATCTAACTAAGAAGCAGTGATTATAGAACTAAAATCATCATAAATATGAATCCTTTTAACAAGAAGCACTTAGTATCAGTATGGCCTATGACCAATAATTCAACCTACATTTGTATATCTATGGTTCACGATGAATCATAAAACAAGACCACATGATATCTTGTGATATCTCTGGTGGAAAAACATCAGAATAGGAGTTATTTCCGGAGAGATGGGATAAAGATTAACTGCGTCAGGGCAGGAGAGAATTTTCTGGGGCTGATGGATAATATTCTGTATCTTTGATAGGACTGGGATTATGCAGGCATATACATTTATCAAAACTTAGCAAATGTACTTTTAAGATCTATGTGTCTCATCGTATGTAATATTTACTTCAAAAAGCTGTAAAAGAAATACTGAATCATTAATGGTATGAATGATGAAATATTTAGGTGGAAATACACTTATGTCTGCAGTTTATTATGAAATGCATAAATGAACAAGACTGATTTGATGGATGAATGAATATGTGATGAAACTAGTAGAGTAAAATGTTAGTAGTAGATCTAGGCGGTGGGTTTACTGTAAAGTTCCTTCTGTATGTGTGAAGATTTTCCTGATAAAATATTAGAAAAAGAGTGATATGTATGAATGACTGCAGAAAAGCTTGGAATGACGTTTAGACTGTTAATATGTTGTTACCTTTGGGAATGGAGAAATGATTTTCATGTCCAAACAATACAGAAATGGGTGTAGTATTAAAAAATGAGCTTACTATTACTTATGTAATTAAAATCCCAAAGGGAAGAAGTTAATTAATTTCAGTGTTTACTCAGGGGTGGTCCAATATTTTGGCTTCTCTTGGCCACATTAGAAGAATAACTGTCTTGGGCCACACATAAAATACATAACCATTAATGATAGCTGAGGGGCTTAAAAAACAAAAACAAACAAACAAAAAAACCAGGTCTGTGCATGTTTTAAGAAAGTTTACTAATTTGGTTGGGCAGCATTCAAAACCATCCTGGGCCATGGGCTGGACAAGCTCACTTTACAGTGAATAGCTTAATCTCTCCCAATCTCTGAAACTATTTTGTTGGTTGCGGTGGGGGTTGCAATAAAAAAAAATTAGCTGGGCATGGTGGCGCATGCCTGTAATCCCAGCTACTCAGGAGGCTGAGACAGGAGAACTGCCTGAACCCAGGAGGCGGAGGTTGCGGTGAGCTGAGATTGCGCCATTGCACTCCAGCCTGGGTAACAAGAGTGAAACTCCGTCTCAAAAAAAAAAAAAGAAAAAGAAATGATGAAATATGTAGAACTAGGCTTTCATAGTAATTAGATACACAACAGAAATTACAATTCAATGTCAAGTTTTTAGTCTGATGCTTTAACAAGATTATATAATTGCCCTTGAACTCACAGTTATAATAATGATTAATCAAGAACTAACAGGGACTATTCATTCTCTTGATTGCCTCCTCCTTCTCCCTCCTGATACATATTTTACTTAATTCACTCTGTCATTCTTAAAAGAATTAGGTTAGAGCAAAGTCTGCACTTTGACTCAGGCTGGAAAAAGACATGGAGGCCAGGGAGAAGTTAAATACATCCAGGTATTTCCAAAGGTATCAGGGCAGGTACAAAGACCAGGTTGGACTAGGCTCTTCATTCAGTGAGAGAATTGAATCTAGAAGAAACAAAGATTTGGAGTTGGGAGGGAAGACGGTTTAGTTAATATACAGATGACACAGAACTGTGACAGTTTTAGTTAGTAATTGTAGATGTGATGTCTTCCTTGCCCTTTTGTAATGAGTCTAGAAAAGGAAATGAAGAACAGATTACCCGGGACGGTGGCTCATGCCTGTAATCCCAGTACTTTCAGAAGCTGGGGGTGGGGGAAAATGACTTGAGGTCAGGAGTTCAACACCAGCCTGGCCAACATGGCAAAAACCCGTCTCAAAAATAGAAAAATTAGTTAGGTGCAGTGGTGTTTGCCTATAATCCCAGGTACTCAGGAGGCCGAGACAGGAGAATGGCTTGAACCCAGGAGGCGGAGGTTGCAGTGAGCAGAGATTGTGCCACTGCGCTCCAGCCTGGGCGAGAGTTTAAGACTGTCTCAAAAAAACCCCCAAACACCAAATAAAAGATAGAGCAAACTTAGAGATTTAACTTAAAGCAAAGGTATGAAGAATATGCTTCTGTAAAATGTGGCTATTTAGTGGTTTAGAAGTAAGTTTCACAGGAAACACTGGACCTCCAGGTAGGTAAAAAGCTGAGTTAGTGTTTGAGTTCATCAGCCGTTACATGGCACAGGTCCTAGAAAGTAATACAGTAAATGACAAATAGCAAACATCCAATATAGTGACATATTTCACTGCTGAATTTATTTCCTGTAATTATTTTAAGCCAATCCAGACTGGATTCCCTGACAATGGAGAGTTGGTTTGTGGTAGCATAAGTATTTTGTGTTAAGAAATGTGTGGACATGCTTGACGTTTTTGTGATTGAGTCTTGAGGGTTTGCATGAAGACTAAATGAGATAAGGTACACAATGCATTTAACTGGCAATCCTATGTGGTTCTATCATTCCTTTTTATAGACGAGGAAACTGAGGCTGAATGGGTAAGACACCACTGGTCACACACCCAGAAATGAGGGACCTGGGAGTTGGGACTCCCACAGCCTGACTTTGAAACTTGAGATGCAACTTGTTACAAGGACAAAGGACTTCAGCTTGTGCCTGTAGGCTACAGGGGCCTCTGATTCTGGGGCCCTTAGACATCAGTATGGTGGGGCTTAGATTAGGCAGAACCCTCTGACTCTTGTCCTCTGGCCTTATCTGATTATCCCAGGGTGCAGAAACATTATCCCTTTTTCACTGTTTCTGACTTGAAAGATAATAGGACGGCAGATGGAATTCTGGCTCAATTTCCCTGGGGAGTGTTGGGAAACTACTTAAAAACAAAACAAAAAAACCGAGATCCTGAAATAGAATGGTGTCTTAACCAGAACTCAAAAATACATCAATTTACGAACCTTCATACTCAAAAAGAGTGGGGTTTCCTACTAAGCCATACCTCATTTATTGTGCTTTACATACACTGTTTTTTGTTTTTTTTTTTTTTTAAACAAACTGAAGGTTTGTGCCAATCCTGCACTGAGCAAGTCTACTGGTGAAATTTTTCCAACAGCTTGTGTTCATTTTGTATCTCTATGTTACATTTTGGTAATTCTCACATGTTTTGGTTACCTGCTGTTACTGTTGTAAGTAACTGTTATCATGCCTTTATAAGATGGTGAACTGATAAATGTGTGTTCTGACAGCTCCACTAACTGGCTGTTCTGTTCCTGTTTCTCTCCCTCTCTTCTGGCCTCCCAATTCCCTGAGAGACAACAATATTGAAAAGAGGCCAATTAATAACCCTACAATGACCTCTAAGTGTACAAGTAAAAGGAAGAGTCACATATTTCTCAAGAAAATCAAAAGCTAGAAATGATTATGTTTTGTGAGGGAGGCATGTCAAAAGCCAAGATAGGCCAAAAGCTAGGCCTCTTGCATATAACAGCCAAGTTGTAAATACAAAAGAAAAATTCTTGAAGGAAATTAGAAGTGCTATTCTAGTGAAAATGTGAATGGTAAGAAAGCAAACAGCCTTACTGATACGGAGAAAGTTGAGTAGTCTGGATAGATCACACTAGCCACAACATTACCTTAAGCCAAAGCCCAAACTAGAGCAAGACTTTAACCCTCTTAAATTCTACAAAGGCTGAGAGAAGTGAGAAAGCTATAGAACAAAAGTCTGAAACTAGCAGTTTGGTTCATTTTAAGGAAAAAGCTGTCCCCATAAGAAAAAAGTGCAAGATGAAGCAGCAAGTGCTAATGTAGAAGCGGCAGCAAGTTTATCCGGAAGATCTGGCTAAGATCATTGATGAAGCTGGCTACACTAAGAACAGATTTTCAATGAAGATGAAATAGCCTGCTATTCAAGGAAAGTGCCCTCTAGAACTTCATAGCTGTAGAGAAGTCAATGTAGAGAGTTTCAAAGAACAGGCTGATTGTCTTGTTAGAGGCTAATGCAAGCTGGTGACTTTCAGTGGAAGCCAATGCTCATTTACCATTCTGAAAATCCCAAGGCCTTTAAGAATTACACTAAATTTACTCTGCCTGTGCATTAGAAATGGAATAACAAAGCTTGGATAACAGCACATCTGTTTACAGCATGGTTTACTAAATATTTTAAGCCTGCTGTTGAGACCTCTTGCTCAGGGACAAAGATTCCTTTCAAAATATTCCTGTTCATTCTGCAGCACATGGATCAAGGAGTAATTCCGACTTTCATGTTTTATTATTTAAGAAATACATTTTGTAAGGCTGTAGCTGCAATAGATAGTGATTCCTCTGATGCATCTGGACAAAGTAAACGGAAAACCTTCTAAAAAGGATTCACTATTCTAGATGCCATTAACAACGTTCATAGGAGATCAAAGTATCAACATTAACAGGAATTTGGAGTAATCTGATTCCAACTCTCATGATGGCTTTGAGGGGTTTAAGACTTCAGGGGTGGAAATGACTGCAGATGTGGTGGAAATGGCAAGAGAACTAGAATTAGAAGTGGAGCCTAAAGATGAGATCGAATTGCTGCAATCTCATGATAAAATATCAATGGATAAGGAGTTCCTTCTTATGGATGAGCAAAGAAACTGGCTTCTTGATGAAGATGCTGTGAACGTTGTTGAAATGACCACAAAAGATTTAGAATACTACACAAACTAAGTTAATAAAGCAGCAGCAAGGTTTGAAAGGACTGAGTCCCATTTTGAAAGAAACTGTTGTGGGCAAAATGCTATCTATCAAACAGCATTACATGCTCCAGAAAAATCTTTCATGAAAGGAAGAGTCCATCAATGTGGCAAACTTCACTGTTGTCTTATTTTAAGAAATTGCTACAGCCAC